ACAGCTGTCTACGTACAATGTCGGCTGATCTTTGATCCTTGAATGGCAGAATAATCCGAACGGGTGCATTTCTTTGAACGTCGCGAACCTGCTGTTGATTTCGCGACTCGATGAATCTAGTTATGGTGGAATTAATGAGCTTCTCTGGGTACTTCAATTTCAAGAAGATTCCTCTCAAGTTGTCACATTCTTCAGCAAATATATCCGGTGAAGATGACAGACAGTGGGCACGGTTTAACATAGTCATAAGAAGTGATCGTTTGTAACGGGCGTCAACATGACTTTGATAGTGAAGGAGAAGGCCTTTATTTGTATATATGTTCAGTTGTTTATTTTACCCATCTCCAGTGCTGTCGGTAAAAGGGTACAGTGTTTAAGGAAAAAAAGGCCAGTGACGCCATCAGAATTATGGAATAACAATAATTAATAATTATAGAATAACAAATATAAAAGAGATATAAAAGAAATACTAACACAAGAACACCAATACAGTGCGAAAAATTTCTCGCGGATTCGCGGATTGCCGCTCGCCCCCGCCCGCGCGTGCTCGCATTCTACCGTGTTCAAAAGAAAAATAAGAGACTGCTCGCAGACTCATCTTGATGACGCCTTTTCGGTGATCGCGATCTGGACAGAATCATATAATAAAGACGAGACAGTAAGAAATTGATTGTTTGAATATCATAGAGTATAAAATCTTTTAAATGATTACTAATAAGCTGATTAAAAGAACGGAACGTTTGTGCTGACCTGCTCCGATTGTGCACTAAACGTCACTTTTCAGGTGACCAGGAACGCGAGAATGATAAATAGACCTACCGTCGATGACGATTTCTCTTCTTCTCTGACTTCTTTTTTTCCATTGTTCAAACTCGAATGAAGAAGAAGATTTTAGAAAAGCGATCCAATTCTACGAAAATACGGTAGGTGTAAACTGTAGACATGACACATCGAACTAAAAAGGGAACCAAAGGTCAAACATCTCAAGTGATTGACATGCAGCTTTGCAGGCTGTCAATTACGTGGTATGGGATTGGCTGCAGGAAAAGAACGCTGACTTTCAGGAATTTTATTTCGGGGTTTGCCACTTTGAATTTCACTGGTGTCGCGCGGATTCCAATGTTTACGATCGGCCTCCCCCTTCCGTACCTAAAATTCCCGCGTCCCCAGACTTTTTTCTTAGCTTCCTACCTGAGTCTCGATTTAGCCCTTGTAGTTTGCGAAATATTGAGTATTGTCGCGTAATTTCTCCCTACTCCCTGCTTCCCCCCCTATTTCCCACTCTTTTTATAGCTCCCACCCCCCGACCTTTCCTCTCCCTCCTCTCGTACCCCTCCCACCCTTTTTTCGTCCGGGCCCCAACCCCCTGACCTATTCGACTTAGCTAAACGGACCTAGCTCTAACAGGCCTTATAACCATTGCAGTATATAATTTTTCATTTATGTTAAGTTTGTTAGTTTGAAATTGGTCGTATTTTTTCCTTTTTATCATCAGTAAGTGACACAGTGGCAAGACAATGATTTCCCGTGCCCTGTCAGTGTCCTTATATAATTATTG